AATTTCATAAAAAGCTGAATTTGCCCAATGTTGCTAAAAATGCAAGGTTAACCCCTTAGAATTTTAGATTTTTCATAAAAAAATCTGATTTTTCCAATTTCAATACTAACACATTGTCGTAAAAGTTGGTATCTGAAAATGTCTATGCTAAACCCCCTACACCGGGGGTTTGTGTAGAAAATATCGAGACGTTTTTTTTATTACTCCCCATCACGTTCAATTCACTTCGGCAGCGACCGCAAGCCCAATTTGAAAGAAAAAGTTAAGACCGGATCAAGATACCAACTTTTACGACATCGTTCTGGTCATGTAAAACATACTTTATGAAGTCTCAACCCTTTTATATTGTAAGATTTTTTAATGTTTTGCATTGCTTACTTTTTTCATACATTCGTTTCTTCTTCTGTTGACTGAAGTTCAAGTGAATGGAGCTGAATATGAAATATTTGCCTGGCCTTTATATTATCTCCTTTTATTGTGATTTGAAAATAAAGTCTGCACTGGTGTGAACGTCATTTCTGCAAAATAAATTGATTGGAGAATAATAAATTCCAAACAAATGTTCGTTTCTTATATGGATCAGTACCGAAAGAATTTACTCAAACGCAAGTACACTTTGTGATATGATAATACAGCACTCTTTATTCTTAATAATTGAATATATAGATTATAAAAAAATAAAGTTCAGCAGATATTTTAGAAAGCAATTATGAGCACCAAAAAGATGAAGTTCAACTTTGAATGATGAAGAACACAGTACATCAACTTCAGTATAAGTAATACTAATACAAACCGTGCATGCAATCCTGCTGATTAAAAAACACAAAACTCGAAACATGACGGCACAAACTGACTTGTATTTTCATGACGTACGTAATGAAGTTTTTAAGTCGAACACTTATACTGATACGGAAAAACAGTAATATTTTTGAAAACACTTTTTAATGAACTCTTCAAGAATCTTACAATGGAGCTTGCTTTTTCGTTCAACTACAGGAAAAATGAGGTGGACCCCCCCCCCCCCTTCCCGAATCTCAGATATGTAATGACCAATTTTTATGAAATTCAGTATGCTAGTAGACTTTCATGGCTAGTACCGGTATACATGGTTCATGCAATATTTGAGCTCAATTTGATAAAGCATTATGTAATTATGAACATTCCTATTACACACTTTCCTTTTTATGAAAAGTGCATAATTTTCTTATTTTATGGTAAAATTGTACCCCAGCATCAAAAATTTGACAATTAATTTGCATGATGCTTGGTCGATTTTCTATGAATTTTTGTACAAATATTCGCAAAACAGTCTACAATCAATTAAGGCTCAGTACAAAAATGATATCAATAACCACGTACAGACCTCCCCCCCCCCCCCCAATCAAGCCCTTTTAAAGTCACGGCAACTATTATAAATACAAAGATAATGAGTATAATTACTGATGCACGTTAATTTCAAGCTTTGCAATTTATATTTATAAAAAGACGTCCCCTTTCTGATATTCTTTTCATTTTTCACTCACATTCATTTTCTTTTCACCTCAGAGAAGTTTATTCGACAGATGTCCAAACCCTTTAGACGAAGTTCTAAACCCAGGATATTTACCCTGCATACACATTACACACACCCTGTGATCTTAAAACAACACCACGTTACAACCACTATCCCCATTGCAAAGTAATATTTTGATCATAATTATTTCCACACTATAGGAACATAAGCAACAGGGTCCATTTCCTGGCAATGCCGTAGATCAGCACATGAATTTCAGCTAACACAGCCTCAATCCATTTCCGACGGCAGAAAGCATGCTTACCCAATTTGATAAATGTGCTTAAAATCAACAGTGACATATCACCAAGTGTGCGCAATAATGCACGCTTAAGGTTGGTACAGTTTTCTACTTAGTTAGCACATCTTTTCTGCTTATGCTGATAAGCATGAAATCGGCAACATGCAGTAATCATTCCGCTGGTACACATTGTCATCTACATGTAAAGTCGAGTCTCGTTATAACAAACTCGTTCTGACCTAGCCAAATTGTTTGTTATATCAGAATTTTGTATTAAGAGGAACATCAGTCCCATTCATTGTGCACATAAATGCACAGTCGGGAAGGCTTTTTGTTTGTTAAAACCAGAATTTTGTTTTAACAGTTTGTACTAATGAGATTCGATTGAATATCAACTTTCCATGACTCCTTGTGTAAACCAACAAATGCCATGACATTTCCATGACTTTCCAAGATATACATGTGTGTCCACACACATATTCTGTGCACATGTATACATTCTGTGCACATGTATACATTCTGTGCACATGTATACATTCTGTGCACATGTATACATTCTGTGCACATGTATACATTCTGTGTACATATATCTATCAAATCAGAAATCAAAGAAATAGGGCAAGGGATCACCAGTGCCCTTGGATAGGACAACATTATTTCAACAAAATAATCATAAAAATCTCAAGATAAAAAAATGATCCAGAAGAAGCTAATCTCATCAAGATATATATGGGCTCTGTTCACCTACAAAAGAGGGCGCTTTGTGACCCACATTTGAGAGCCCCATGGACGGGATACACCGCGCGTGCGTACTGATTCGCATGCGTATGACGCGAAGTACGCACAACTAATTTTATTCTAACGTGCACAAAGCCATAGCACCTTTGTATGAAGCCCGGGTAGGGACAGGGTGGAATTTTTTTGGTAATTTGCTAATTTGTTCGCACGAATTACTAATTCGTTCGCACGAATTGCTAATTCATGCGCACAAATTGCTAATTTGTGCGCACGAATTGCTAACTCGTTCGCACGAATTGCTATTTCGCTCCCACGAATTGCTAATTCGTTCCCACGAATTACCAACTCGTTCCCACAAATTAGTAACGCGTTCCCGGATGCACGAGTTTGCAATTTGTTCCCACGAATTAGGAAATCGTGCGAACGAAATAGCAATTCGTGGGAACGAATTAACAATTTGTGCGAACGAAATAGCAATTCGTGCGAACGAAATAGCAATTCGTGCGAACGAAATAGCAATTCGTGCGAACGAAATAGCAATTCGTGCGAACGAAATAGCAATTCGTGCGAACGAAATAGCAATTCGTGCGAACGAATTAGTAATTCGTGCGAACGAATTAGTAATTCGTGGGAACAAATTAGCAAATTACAAAAAAAAAAATTCCACCCTGTCCCTTCCTGGGCTTCATATCTTTGCATAAGCGTCAGGCGTGGTCAGCAATGTGTTTGAATGCCTCGCCCCCGACTCTCCATTTCTTGCCTGTGAGGGGGTACATGTACAACATAACAAAGGCGCAGGTTTCGTGACTACCTCATTAACTTGACCACGGATGAATGAGTAGCTCCGCGAAGTTCGCGAACTGCTTTGCTCTTAGCGTCATTAGTCATTATTGAAGCCTGCCCTAAGAAAGCACATAAGTGTGACATCGTTACGTTTCGGGTCTATTGTTGTTTTGACCTCATAACTTGGGTTAACTTAATCATAATCACAAACTGCATCATAATTCCGCATTAAACTATTCAGTAAAAAGAATCATCGTCGGCCATAAAAAAAACATTCAATTTCAGAATCTATTATTATATATTTAAAAGTATAAATTCAATTTATATACATCTGTGTATTACACACTTTACAAGGTCTTCTAAGCATTATCATGATTATAGAATTTATTTGTAAAAAACTTACTATTATCTATTAAATGTTTTAAGGGCCCATGCAATGTTAGTTTTGAAAGGCGATCCTTGAAAATGCACCTTTGTGTCCCATTTAACGTTACTTTCAATTTTTGTTTAGCCATTTTCAAGAGTATTTTTTATGCCTTTTTGGTTTTAATTCTAATGCAAATTTCCATATTCATAAGCAAAAGCGTGATGTCATTTGAAAGATGGAATGCTCCATTCAACGAGGCGAAGCCGAGTTTAATGGAGCATTCCATCTTTCAACGAATGAAATTTTTTTCTCCATTGTATGAATGGAAAACTTTCATTATTTGTTTTACATAAACATCCAAGTAGATCTTTGTCATTTGATTGGAGGATAAAACTATTTAAGAACAAACAAAATTGTATTATGGCATCCTGCATTTTTTCCAGTTTGTTCAAAGTAAAAAAAAAAAGGTTTAAAAGTCAAAACATTACCAATATGAATGTTAATACTGTAAGTTCTTAAAACAATGCAAATAAATCTGCAAGGCAAGTTCAGTTCGTACATGTAACTGCATCCGCTTCACAGGCAAGTTTTGTACTGATGTATAAAACGCACGGATGTGGTCTAGTGTGAGGATCGTATAGCGCCGCTGCACGTCTATGCGCGGCGCTATATGATCTTTGGTCTAGCGTGCGCGTGCAATAGATCAAAGAAATTCAACGAAAATGCATGGTGAATGGAACCAAAAATGCACGGCTCACGGCCGTGCAATGGTTTGATTAATGAATGCCATGTGACCTTCAATCCTCCAATCAAATGTCAAGGATTTACTTGGGTGTTATATAATACGCTTTGACTTACGCCCTCTTGTGGTATGATCCTCAATTGTCACTCGGGAAATAACGCTCATTCACGACTGTAAACAACTGCAAACTAAACTAAATTTGGTAAATTTGGGGCAGTATTTGAAGAAGAAAAAAAAGCCGTTTTTTTTTCTTGCAATAGTTTGGTCCTAACCACGGTGAGGAAAAGATGGAGATACCTCTTTTCTCGAAAATGACGGCATACTTAGGCGCAATGATTTCTTAGAGAGCTTGATCCTATTATTTACATAATAACAATGAAGTAGGAAATTAATTAATATCTTTTTGAATGTTTTGCAAATGGTGTCCAGTGAACCCTAAAAACACATTTTCATTTTTTTTTACATGTATGCAAGTGAAACTTAACTACATGTCTGTGAAACTTAAGTACATGCACATGCATATCATGAAACTGCTATTAGGATAAAAGTTAGGATAAAATTGATTAAAGTTAATTTCTTTTTGTTCATGCTTACATTTCTTTATATTTTAATGTCTGCTGTAGCTGCAGTTAACGGTAAAAATACTCATTGTTTAGGATTGGAAACCGACGCAACAATTTTTCTCAAAATCGAGAAAATGAAATACTACTTCAACAGAGTTTCTCTTTCTGAATGAAATTTTCTCAAAATCGAGAAAATGAAATACTACTTCAACAGAGTTTCTCTTTCTGAATGAAATTTTTGTCATTTTGGACAAAAACTACATTCTATTTCTTTTCCCTTATAGTTATACCGACAAGTGCCTACGTGCACTTTAAATTCAGGCATCCTCAACAGAACCTGAGATGAACATGTATACATCAGAGATGCCACCAATATATCAATAAAAACCTGAAAAAAAATACCGTACTAAGCCTGAAAAACTACGGTACTAAAAACCCTGAAACTACCCTTACTCCCTTTCAAAAATCTGTTTTCTGGATGTTTCAGACCAAATCCAGCACTTTTAATTTGTCACATTTTTTTGAAAAAAAAACCACCCTGAATTCAGGTTAAAACCTGAAAAGTGGCATCTCTGATACATGTAACCCTGTACCCGATTTGAGTTACTATTTGTCTTTTCTTTAATATTATAAATCCAGTCGTTCCTGTCACTATTTATTTCCTGTTACCGGCTTGGACTTTGTAGGGTCGGGTTGTCAAGGTTGCACAAGGCAAGTTTCACTGGTAACTTTGAGGCAACCATCGTTACAATTTACATGTAAACGCACCACTGAAAAGAGCTAAGCACAGTTTTCAAATAGCTCAACGTAAATTGTTCCGAAACTTACACAACGCAAGTGTGCCAGTCTTTTTGAAGATTGCCTGGAACAAGTTGCCTGCCAATTGCCTGATGTGACATGGCCCACTGAAGTCCAGATACCAGACATTTTACGGCCTGGTTTTTGTATATATTTGTTTTTACACTGTTTCCCCTGACATGTTAGCAATTGAGACCAACTCAGACGGGTCGAAATCGTCGATGTTGTCCAGCTTGTGAACTCGGGGTTTGGGGTCGATGTACCGGTCGTCAAACTGACTGTCATAGTCTGCAGAACAACACAGATCGCCAACGCTACCCTCAGTCCACTCGTAACCGTTCACTTTATGCTGCCCGTCCTTGACTACTTTGTCTGCATAGATTGGGTAGAAAATGTCATTTGCCGAGCACACAAACACAAATTTCTTTTAAAAATAGGCAAAACCAGAAATAATTTGTGGAAAAGTGATAAAAAGGTGTTGTTTTTCTCTTGAGTCAGAAGCCTAAAATAGGGTTCGTCACAAATGAAAAACCGAAGAATTAAAAAGGGATGTCCTGAAAGAAATGCATTTGGTTTTATTAACCCTAACCATCCCTAATCCTCCAAAATCCTTTTTGCAAATTGGAGGAATTTGCAGGATTGAGGTTACATGGCAAAAGTGCAATACTGATTTCGGAGTACGCACTGTGTCAAGGTCTTGGGCCGGACCTTGTGTTGTTTATGCTCAGCCGTGCATAAATTTAGTCCTTAATTTTACTTGAAATCCTCCACACTGCTCCAAGATGTCACTGCCCCTGCCTCGAACATATTGACAGTCATAGCCGGAGGATTGAGGCAGTGGTCACCCCTCCACGGATCATATTCAAGAAATAATGGAGGAATTTGCAGGATTGAGGCTATATGCTATTTTTTCATGAGGCCAATTGTAGAATTGGGGAATTGTAAGGAGAATTTGTAGACTATGGGGAATTGTAAGGTCAGAGAATCAGTTTGGCAGGCTTGTACCCCTTCACAGTTGTCTAATCAATTGCAAAGAAAACGCGGAATAACAAATTATGAAAAATAAGGATCAGTTTTTCAAAAAAAAGCCAGTTTTCTCCAGCGCTGGTCTGCCAACCAGCGTTGGAAAAATACATTTTTTCTTGAAAATGTCAGCACACCACAACTCATGATGTTACAGGATGCTTTAGACTGTCATTCCCCAACAATCCAGTAAGGTATTTTGTGATAATTTCATCATTTCGTTTTTGTGATGTTTGCAAATGTTGTATCTTCCCTTTAATGAGATCTGCACGTGACTGCACTCACCCTCTTCATGGAGCATGTTGTTGGGCAGATTAGACCTGTCGTCAAAATGCGGCGTGACACCACCAGTGAAATCCCCCGTGGAGGCACTCAATCCGGTACCGCGTCGTTTCTTCCGCACCCCCCACACCACCAGTCCAACTAGGAGCAAGATGGCAAACAACACGCTCAAGAAAACTCCGATGGTTGTTGGAATGTCTTTGATGATGGGTCCCGAGTTCGATCTTTCCTCTGCAGAAGTGGAGACAACATACACATTTTTATTTACACTGTGACTGTCCCTTGAAACATGTCCAAGCTTTAACTTCCACGTTTCAATACAATTTAGAGGTTGTACAGAATAACACCATCTACTGTGTAAGGAGCAAATCCCCTTGTGACCAACTTGAGATATGTTCAATAAGGTGCATTCAAAGTTTTGAAAAGTCTAGAACAAAATACAATTCTCTTGTGGACCTGTCGTCAAAATGCGGCGTGGACCAGTGGTTACGTACATGTAGAACGCCATGGTCCAGTGGTTACGGTGTTTGACTCATGAACGAAGGTGCGTGGGTTTGAACCCGGCCAGGCAAGACACTTGGCTTTAATTGCATCTCAAGTACATTTTTTGGAGCACTCGATCGTACTCGTACTCGTACTTGAATGTCAAATGACGGTACTCGTACTCGGGCAGCAAAAGTACTCGTACTGGACATGTCGTAATTGAACTCGATCATCAAAGTACTCATACTCGAATAGTAGTACTCGGGGAAAAAATGGCATGGCTTGACTTGAGTTTGAAATTGTTGATTGGCTTGTGGAGAAATCAAAGTTTACTGATTTTCCTCTGTGCACGTCCGGACAAACATGTTTAACAGCTAGCCGGGCGTAGGTCTGTATATCGGTCTGACTGGGCCTGGGCCAATTACGCACGATGAAGCATTTGCCGTATGGCCGTATTCGGAAATAAAAGTACTCGTACTCGGAAGTAGAGGTACTCGTACTCGGAAGTACAAGTACTCGTACTCGGAGACCTGTACTTGTACTCGGAGGTACAAGTACTCGTACTCAGCAACCTACATGTAAGTACTCGGCAGTACTCGGTTCTCAGCAAAAAGTACTCGACTACAACACTGCCATTTTCTTTCAATATTGGCCCTGAACAAGGCTAAAAAGGGCTACGAGAGCAACTAAAAGAGTAGGTACTCAGGAAAACTTAAGGTAGGTATTGACATTCCTCTTGAAACAAGACAGATCGTAGGTTGGAGGGAAACAAGCACCAGGCAAGGAATTCCAAAGAGATGCAGCACGTGGCAAAAAGCTATTGGAATATCCTTTTGTTCTGCTGGGCAGGTACTCTTACAGTGTGTGGATAAGAACAGGCAGAAAGTTGCGTTTCTCTCACAAACCATACAAAACAAAAGAGGCAAGATTTCATATTTCATGTAGCACAGCTCTACTATAATCTGCTCTTCCCTGAAGAATTGGTGACAAAACAAAATTGAACAGTTTCCCCTACTTTCCCAGCAATGTCTGTAGATCAGCAAATTTTAACCGTGTTGCTAGGCAACACAGCAGCATCTTGAGGGCATGAACTCTATTTCAGTCTGAATAAATTTAATTGCACCTTTTGGAGTTGTCATGGACATTGGTGTGGTAACCACGGGGCTGAGGGCAGTGATGTTGACATCATTTGACGAAACTTGCCAGGTATCTCCGGGGAAAATCTTGACCTGTAAAGGAAACAAAGGAATAAAAGGGATTTAAATTTGTGATGTGTTGAGTCGAAAACAAGGTCAAAAGCTTGAAATGAAGGCCAAAAATATAAACAACAACAACAAAAACAGGTAGCGAGAGAGTTTTTTTTCCTGACAATCTGTGATTGTAAATATTTGGCAGGTTTTCTGTTCAACTTTCAAACAGTAAATGTGATTTTTCTTTTGGATGATATGTGGAAGTATTTTCTTTGAAAGAAGTGCATCTCTCTTAGCAATCACAATTGTGAATAGCACTGAAAAACATTCATTCTGGACAAAGTCCATTTTCAAATGTTTAAAGGAAAGATGATAAAATAAAAAAAACCTGTTTTTGACCAGCTGCCTAGAAGACTATGTTTCAGACAGGAAATATAAAAAACCGGCATGGACAGGGAGCGTTCAACTTACGGGAACGTTGCCAACATCGGGACGGACTGTGTACCAGCAACAATTGGCCAACGCAAACAAAGCCACAAAGACAAATGGTCTTTCTGACTTGATCAATGTTTTCCAAGATGGCCAACTACATAGTGAGCTGTCAGAGCAGAAATTTACTGTTTTCTACATCTAATTTCTCTGATGACTTGACATGGCTGTCAAATCTCGCTTCAAATAGCAATACATTTTCAACGAATTGAAACGCCGCTATCCACACAGTACAAGTAGACGACAGTTTTCCAACATGGCATTTTCGTTTCTCTGTGGGTTGGCACATATATCGCAGTGGTTAGTTAAAGCAGGGTTCGACCTTAACATTTTTGTTCACTAGCCAGCCGGGCTACTGAAACAGACTCTTAACTAGCCTGCGGCCTTTTCACTAGCCTGCATGTGTTGTTCTTTTGTTATGCGCATTTACAGGCATGCGACTGGGAAGTCACAAAAAAAGAGGAAATTCAAATCTTTCCCAGACTTTGTACAGTGTTTTTCTATTTTCAATGACACACATTGGAAGTAAAAGAAGAGGAAATCAGCTGATCCGAGGAAAAGTTGCATGCCTGGCATTTATGTAAAACTTGTCTAGAGCCAGAAAGTTGACCCCTGGTGGCGAACTTCAGGGCCCCTCGAAAAGGAAAGTTAAAGTGTACAAGTCCGAGTTTTTGAAATAGTTTTGGTACATTGATTTCTTGAGAAAATCTCTGTACGAAATTTTATGGAAACTTGAAAAATCGCATGACGTAAAAGAGTAATATCGTGCCAAAAATTGACCTCTCACTTCCGAAAACTTTCGTATTGATTCGTGGAACTCGATCACTCGTTCAAGCATGAAAATTTATGATCTTACAGATGTAACAATTTTTGACTCGCCAGCCGGGCTACTTAAGGAATAGTTTGACTAGCCCGCCGCTGTTTTGACTAGCTAATTTCAAACCCTGGTTAAAGATTAACATTAGTTTGAGTGAAACACACCCTGGCTCTGGCCAATTAGGCATTGAGATGAATGTACATGTATACATGTAAAGAAATCATGCCACTTAATCACTTACCTTCACTTTATAACGGCCGGGCTCGACATCTCGAAACTCATGCATCATCAGTCCAGACTGTGTGACAAAAACATCAAAATCAAAATCAGGTTTTGTCATTTCGTATGACTTTTGTCCTGCGTGATTGTGAGACAAAAATTCACAATTAAACTACTCAGGTGGGACTCAAACCCACGACCTCCTGGAGTGTCATGGCCCAGCAGTTAAGAGAACCGGACTCGTTGCTGGTGTTTCAGAGGCAACAGTGACGTGGGTTCCAGCCCGCCAGTGGACACTTGTGCTCTTAAGCAAGGCACTTAACCATTATTGCTTCATCCTTCGGATTGGATGTAAAGCCGTAGGTCCCGTGTGTTGTACAATGCACGTAAAAGAACCCAGTAAGTAAACACTTATCGCTAAGAGAAGGGGTTTGCCCCGGTGTTTCTGGCCTCCTGTATAAACTCCCACGTGGAGTATTTAGGAGAAGAACCAACCAAGAAACGAGAACCTCCTGCTAACTAGTGCAGATGTCTTTACAACTCGACCATGAGCTGGCCGAGCTTGCGGGCTGGTTTGAATCCGATACGTGTAGCATTGGGTAACGCAACCTTCTTTCGTATGATTTGCTAACCACTATACAATTTAGCGCAGCTGATGTAGCCATGTAACAGTCTCCGGGGTTGTAGCCGAGTCCTTCACAATTCTGCTGCGAGTGAGGATGATTAGCCTCCCAAATTATTATTATTATTATTATCCATCATAAAATTGTGAGATGCTGTACATTAAAGGAATCTGTCAATGGTAGAACAGATCTTATTAGAACATTGGCATGTCAGACCTCCTAGCAAAGTGTTGCTGATGGCAGGGTGCCATGTTTACATTTACCCGGTACCCTAGCGGACTCCCAGGGAATTTTGCCAGGACTCTTCCTGAATCCTCACAACGAGATGGCACTTGGGCAATGACAACCATTTTAAAACCTCACATTTGAAAGTTTCCTCGTACTAAAAAATGCTTGGAAAATCTTTTCAGCACCTTTTATATCATTAGGGTGTGAGTCGTATGCTACTTTAAAGGTTACCATATGTACAAGATTTACTTTTGCTGTAATTCTCAGAAATAAATGGAGTTGGAGGAATAGTACGTTAAAGCAAATATTGTTAGACTGACTTAACATTTTGGGTTCGTGGATGCTGGAAAAACCAAGAAAACCAATCATGTTCTTGTAGTCTGGTTCCCTGACCCCACTTAAGATGAAACAAAGCAATTTATAGATGTTGGGGAATTATAAGGTCAGAGAATCAGTCTAGCTGGCTTGTACCCCTTCACAGGTGTGTAATCATTGCAAAGAAAATGCAGAAGAACTAAATATGAAAAATAAGTAGCAGTTTTTGAAGGAAAAAAAGTTTTCTCCAACGCTGGTTGGTCGACCAGCATTAGAAATTGAAACAAAAATAGCACTTTACTTGAAAAGGAGCCATGATTGTATTGCATGCTTTAGACTGTCATTCCTTAACAGTCCAGTAAAGAATTTCGTGTAAATTTGACCATTTTGTTTTTTGATGTTTACAAATGTTGTATCTTCCCTTTAATAATAATTAAGAAAAAAACAATCATAAAAATCTCCAGAGGGACATACGTTGGTAACTCAAAGTAGGCCATGAAAAAAAACACGAAAATATGAAAAAATAACAAGGATGGAGTTACTCACATGGCCACTTGAGTTGACAAAATGGGAAAAGTTGTCTGGAACAATTCCCAACTCATATGAGTAAAGGTTAACCCGATATATCAACCATAAATTGCCAGGGTAGATGTGAAAAAACACTCTGATGATCCACACTTGGTCCTCAAAGGCTACACTTGCAGTTGGATGAGCAGGATGCCAATCTTCAGGTGATGCTGTTTAAGCATGAAGAAAAGGACGGTAAATGCACATGTAGTATGAGTAGAATGCCATGATCCAACGGTTACAATGTCATGTTCTTGTGTCAGTGCAAAAACGTCTTAACAGCCAAATTTGTCAAAATTCAGTTTTTCGTGTATTTTTTATTCAGATTTACCCGCAGATTATTACAGGAGAGATCCATTGAAAAATCTCAAAATTCATGTTTTTGTACCGATGTGACACCATTTATGTTTATTATTTGCATTTTCTTGAGACAAAATTATCAGAATTAGAAAAAAATGACAAATTGATCTTTATTTTGTGATAAAAAATTAGGTGGAAAATACGAGAAACAAACAATGTAGTCAATGGAAAATACGAGAAATATTGAACTAGAGAATATCCGCACACTGAATTAGATGCTACTGGGAATTATTAACATTCTACATGTAGTTGTTAGTAGGGATAGAGTAAAAATATTTCATGACTTTACCTGATTTAAGCCCTACGTGCTACGTGGGGCCTTATTGTGTGCCCATGCAAATGAACTGTATCTCGACGAGTTATGACGTTTTGACAAAAGTATAAATATCGCGTCCCCTCCAGCAAATTGTTGATCTCTCTCATTTAACGTGTTTAAAAGGTCTTTTATCTAAGATCACATGGGATAACAAGGAGTTCAACATATTGAGCACGTTTCTGAATAAATTATATTTCTGAGGTTTCTCTCTCTTTTCATTTAATGAAATGCAAAGATTTAGCGAGCCACAGCAAACCTGTTTTTCTCAAAATGAGTTACAATGTTTTTGAACTGACACGACGATGAGGGACTGTGCACAGATTGAAACTATGAAAAAGGCGCATCTATATATATGCTCTTGCAAATATGCTTTTCACGACTCTTTGAAATGACTTGAACAAGTGTCTTAAAAGTGAGATTTTCAAGTTGGCTCTGATAAAGTCAAAACTTGTTTAAGAGCAACCTTTTAGAAATAAAATTGAATTCTAAGCTATTTGATTGTGTTGTAACCCAGGGCCAAAGGGAGAACAGATGGTGAAATAAAATGAGAAATAAATAAACAAGTAAATAAAAGAAAACTTACGAAGTGGTTTACAATTTTCCCCTGAGCAATTGAGACAGCCCCCAACTTCAGGAACCTCATTGCAACCTGGAGGATAGAAAAGGAGGCAGCCAAACGAATTACAGAGAAATTGTCCAGTTTGGGACATTTTGTCGGTCCCAGAGAGCCGTGCCAGCTTAGAGTCATCTTTGCACATATCGCACTGACTGACTGACAGATAAACTCACTGTCACTCGTGAGTCGGGCAGTGCTATCATATAGGATTACCATGTAACACCAATGAATAGGCTAAATCTGGTTAACTGTGTAAACCACATGCATGAAAAGACTACCGCTAAATTGTCATCCTGAATCAATTTGGGCGATTCACAATACAGTGCGCCACCAAGAGTTTGCCACGGAGAATACATTTTTTTCAAGTTTATGGTCGAAAAAAAAAAACGAGGCCCATTGGAATGAGTGTCAGTAGACAACTTGAGCTAATTTGTTATAGATTGGGGTATAGCGTTCGGCCGCCTTAAACAAAAAACAACAACAATAGCATGAATGGGCCATATTGATAAACAGAAAGAAAAGGTTAAACAAATACTCAGATACAGATACTGTTACATGTATACTTACAGGTTTACAGTGCAGATGGAAATAAAACAAACAAACAAACAAACAATACTCGAATCATACGCTGACAAAACTACTGACCGGACAAACTAATAATTTCAAATATCCCGCGCTGCCAATTTGTCGACCATCTCCCACAATGCACTGGGAAAATGAACTCTCCGTGGCAAACTCTTGGTGGCGCACTGCATTGTGAATCGCCCGGATGGAATAGAATGTTGTGCTTGCCTTGGCTTACTTTCCTCATACATGTATACCCGGTAGAAGGGGACCAATATCCAAATATTAATGGTCAATAGTCAGCACATATAAAATCAGCAAAATACGAGTGCCAATCACTTGTTCAATGTTCACAATACATGTACGTCTCAGATTTTTGTGATGAAATCAGCAAATATATGTGTACTTACTCTTTGCATGGTGCGATCGTGTGATGGACTTGCCGGAGTCTAACGATGTCACTGTGACGTCATACGTCCCATCTACGTCTATATCTTTCCAACAATCTATTGAGAAGGTGACCTGCAAAGGCAAAAACCTCACATCAGCTACCGGTACAGTTGTAATACAATCCCAACATTCAATGAAGACAAGCCAACTTATTTGCCGCCCACAGAACGACCCTCTGACAACAGAGAACAGTCGGCGACTGACTGTTTAGGATGAAGCTCCACTAGTGCTTGAGCTACGACTGTCCAGAACATATCAGTTGCCGATTTTTCGCGACCTGAGTGTACATGTACATGTAACTGCAATGAAATTATGATGATCGGCATCAGTCGGCGCTATAAAAAAAAAAGGCGCAAGAGCGTTCCCGACAGGCGGGAATCAATCAAAGTCGACCTGCGTGAACTTCGTGAAGTTAAGACGTCGTGATCTAATACACCGTGCCCTCTGGACACATGCACACAATAGGGAACAAAAGATTGTATACATGTACGTCTCCACAGGGCAATTTCTATAGATGAATAGTCTCCACAAGGTTTTCACGAAATAGATATATGGCTTTTTCTCAAAAACTAGGAATTTCCAAGTTATGTTGATCTGTCACAAATGGTAGAGTTTTAGAAAAGGGACAGTAAGTCTGAATTTCAGCCAAGGAAATTAATTCTGGTAAAATTAAGAGCATTTTGAAACTGTACTTTCAAACTCGAAAACTTGAGTACACGAGAACAAAGACATGTCTCCACAAGAATACAAATTTCAGTATATTTGTGCGCATCAAGATCATCTTATTTCATTGTGTAGCCAATCAGTGTGCGGCAAAAATGGCTGAATGAACAGATGTGGCTATGGAAGGACATTTGATTGTTATCAACACGCTTTATAATTAACCGCTACCGCTTTTGTTTAAGAAGTCACATGACTGTCTGCCGTGGAATTGTCGTCGTGTCATGGGTGACATGAGCATGGTTGCGATTTTTATGCTGCCAGTTCCACGAGATCGAATTACACGATTTCTCAGTTTTGTGACTTGAGCATTACTTTTCTGCTTGATGCCGTCGGTTCCATCGTGGCGCAAGCAACTCACAGGTCGACCTGAGGGTGGCTTTAAACTCGGAAATTCAGGCAAACAGTGTGAGTTGTCAATTTCGCTGACGTCCATTATCACGCAAGTTTCTGTAACGGAGAGTTGAAGTAATAACATTTCGCAAGACTGTGTACGCCTAAAACCCGTGTTGCATTATGTACATGAACATTACAACTCTGTCCCGCAAGTCTAAAATAGGTCTAAAATGACCACGGGTTGACTGTTGATTTTTTGATTTTTGAAAAACTGACAATTTTTACAAACTCATGGATACGTAATTTGATGAAAAATCAAGCATCTCACCTCTGATGGATTGATAGGAGCCTCGCTCAAAGGTGTAAAGTTGACTTGTTTGCAATACTGAGCACCGACAACGTAACTTGTCTTGATAACGTGTACATAGAAACCCCTCAATCCGGTAACGTTTTCTGCAAGAAAAAACAAGAATTCAAGTGATACCCACAGTAATACCCACGAGTCACTTGTTTGAATTAAAAAGGCTACATGCACACATGAGCTGCTATTTTCAAGTGGATGTGTGCGCATTATACATGTAAGTATTCATTATTCTTGTACGTGTAATGGTACCATTAACATGATTAAGGAGACACGTTATCATAATTTCTTCGCACGATGGGAGACATCAGTCATTATACATGTAGGGATACATTTTCATGTCTCCCTAATGTCACGGCCCCCCTTTAGAGGCAAAATTGTAGTCGCACTTAGGTTATATTTGTCGCTTGTGGTACCAAAATTCGTGAAAAAAGGACAAGGGAACATTGGGTTAGGGAACATTTAAGTTTGAAAAATGTTATGCACAAGTCCATGGGAATGTTTCCCAAATGTCCAATCCAAGGTACATGTACGTATTATTAGTAGTATTATACTATATTATTATTATTATTTACTTGGTAGTTTTCCATAAAATCAACAACCACTGGGAAGTATACATGTACTGGATACATCTGGAACTCTATTCTTTAGAGCAATACAGTCACTTCAAGCACAGGTACTGTACATGTACATGGATACATAATGAACATTGTCCATTGTCCAACAGAATCTTGTGTTTTGTTATTTTTGAGATACATGTAAGGTACATGTACTGTTGGTTATGTGTGACTTGAGAGTTACAAGTTCTCAGTGTCCAATCCGAATCATAATAGTCGAGTCTGAATCCAAGTCTTTTGTCTACAGAACTCAAATCAAGTCCAAATCACAAAATTGTGACTCATTATGAACTCGAGTCTAAATTGTGGGGAAAAGTCATGCACCGGTAACTCAGATGCCCAGCATCTCATTCACAAAATGCCTTTAAACTTTCCTTCCCAGATCTACCGTACTGCGAGGTGTAAGAGGATTTTGCACATACCAGGAAGATGCCATGTTATGTTCATGCCTAGCGTCGTCGTTCCACGAAACGGGTGGACAAAATCTGTGATCATGAGGCCTGTTGGCGCTGACGGTGGTGCACTGCGTTCAGGGATGTGTCCACAGCCTTAACGAAAAAAAAGTGAAACAAATATGATCACTTACCGGTAGAGAAGTAACATCTAACTGCAACCTTCCTAAGATGTTAATCCTAAAAAAAACCAGTTATTTTTTTATCATGCCTGACAGTTACATGTACATGATGTAAGAATCCAAATGCACTTACACACCAACCAGATTTTATTTAGTGTCTACAAGCATGACAAGCAAAACGATGATAAGCAGAGTAAAATTGAAGACAAAATTTTGTAATAATCATCATTTATAGCGTGTCCCAAAATACCCGCAACATGTTTTTGCGAGGCTCTAGCGTCTCCGCGGAAACCCATGCCGCCGTTATTTATATATCATTTTAAAGCTTGGAATCTTAACTTTATCCCTGGTAAGTATTGGTTTGATTTTCAAAATGGTTTTGAAATTACTCGTAATCAAATAATGGCATACCAAAAACATACTCAACCGATTTCAAGGAAAATCAATCATGCAAATTTTTTATACCGGCACATGTAATGTGGAAATGCTTCATCATGTTCATGATGTGACGATATCGTTGCCTTTTACAATCTGTGTTTCCTTTTTCTTTTCGAACCACGTACACATGTAGACTACACCTACAAATGTAAAATAAATTCACAATATTGTTCTTTGTTTCAAGTTCAATGTGTTTTAATATAAATCAATTGTTTTTTGTTTTTTTGTTATTTCAACAGCTTGTTGACTCAAGTTTGCATCTGATGTATCGCACCATAGATTTTCCTTGAAATCGGTTGAGTTTGTTTTTGACATGCCTTTATTTGAGCATGAATAATTTTAAAACTCTTTTAAATATCATGATTAATGATGTTAAAGATTAATTATGTTAAAGGGAAAATACAACATTTGCCAACATCGAAAAATAAAACTACCAAGTTTTTACGAAATACCTTACTAGGGTGTTGGTAAATGACAGTCAAAAGCATCCTGTAAAGTTATGGCACCTGGTGTGGAGTCATTTTCAAGAAAATGGTATTTTTGTATACGTTTCCAGCAGTGGTCGGCCGACCACTGTTGGAAAAACCTAACTATTTTGCAACTACTACTCCAAATTTACCATTTTGTATTCAGTTCAAATTTTGTTTGCTACATGTATTGGTTACATGTTCATGAACGGGTGCAGGCCAGCTAGACTTGTTCCCTTACCTTACAATTTTCCGGCATCTGGAAATTGATCCATTTTTATCTTTAGTGGAGTCAGGGAACCGGACTACTGGAACATTTTTGTTTTTCTTGGTTTTTCCAGCATTTTCGAACAAAAAACTTCAAACATGTCAGTGTAACAAAATTTGATCTACATGTATTATACTCCCCCTTCAAATACTTCATTTCTGAAAATTACAGTAAAAGCCAATGATGTACATTTCCTTTAAATTATGGCTGTACATGTTTGTGCCGACGCTACAGTAGAGCCTCACCAAAAAAAGTTGTGGGTATTTTGGGACGCTCTGTACATAACATGTTTATTTCATATATTGTACATGTAGGCATGAACAACCTTCCCTGCGCACAGTCAAAGTCAAAAGTGAACATTTTTTGCCAGCCAATGTTCGAAAATTGTACAATTTCCTCTTTTATACAAATGGACCTGCAGTTATGGCTAACAAAAAATTTTATCTCATGAATAAACATGTGCAACAATATTGATGTACATGTGCATGTACTGTATTTCATTTCAGATGTAAATAAATAAATATATAGGTGCACTTTAATACCTACCTCCTACAGCTACAGATTCACATCGATCTGCCCCTGGAAAGTTCTGAAAATAAAAACAATGACAACATCGACATTGGTCAGTGATTACAATGTACACAATAATAGAAAACTACAAAACTCCAAGTTATTTGTTGCTTTCATACATACATGTACATGTACATGTATGTACATGTATGAACTTGCTAATCACTTATTGTCAGCCCTTTTTCTGTTACCACAAAAGTTTTGTTGTACTAGTTTTTTGTAAGCTTTGTAGGCCTACATTTTGAGCTTGTAAATTGGCAGCATTACAATACATGCTACATGTACACGTACCGGTACCCCGGTAGTACAGATGGTATTTTGTGATCACTTTCCAGAACCACAGTGGAAGGGTCCCCCTCTTGCGAGTACTGGTTTCCAGGGTGACCGTTTAAGCCGAATTTTGGCTAAATTTGACAGAATTTTTCGGAAAAAAAGAAAATTTGACAGAAACTTTAGCAGAATGAATTTTTTAGATTTTTAGCAGAATGCTGTAAAATTGGTGGTTTGACAGAAAAATATGGCAGATTTGAAAAATATAGCTGTTTAGTTTTGAAAATTCAGTTTGAGGTTCCCGATAGCGCCGTGTGAAGCAAGACGTGCATTTTTGGGGGGGGGATTAATTTTTTTAAAGAAAAATTTTATGATTTTTGTTTCGTTTAAAGGATATTTTATAACATGAGTAAAAAAGTGCTTTCAATTAATTTTTTTAATAAAAGGTGATTTGGCCGATTTTTGTTTAAATCTAACAGACCTTTGAAGTGCATAGCAGAATTTTGCTATTAACTTACTGTCGCCCTGCTAGTTTCTCATGACTGTACTGTTTAACCATCCCCTAACAGTAAATTGTTTTAATTGAACAACTATTTTTCTAACATTACACATACCGGTATATAAGAACTGTATCTTTTTTTAGGGTCGTTCTGTAAAGTATTGCACTATCATTTGTCCCTTTGTTTCAGCTGAATAAACATGTACATGTACATTTTCTGACTCTCTAAATATGCAGTTGTTCTTTAAGAGTTATTATAGCAAACCACATATACCTACCCCCCTAAAAAAAAATTGTTTGAAGTCATTCTTGATGATACTGGAAGGTATTTCAAATGTCAGACGTACCAGGGTAACAGGGACAGGAAAAAAGTCACATTTTGCACCTCAAATTTATACAATGTAGAACGACCTCTGAGCTTTCAAACGAGACATCAAACTTCTTTTTTTTTCAAAGGTCAATATTAATAAACTTGACAGATCATATAGGCCTAAACAAACAAAAAAAGGAATCAAATTTAAATTTGTTGTTTTGCTACTAATTCCAAACAAAACTGTATAATGTGTACAAATTTAAATTTAACAATATTTTTGTGAAAAGCAAATGAGTAAGAGTTTACGGACATGTCATGCATACAATGTACATGTACATGTATGTTCAACGTGTACGTAGACTACAAAAAAAAGGAATAAAATTTAAATTTGTTGTTTTGCTCCTAATTCCAAACAAAACTTTATAGGCCTAATGTGTACAAATTTAAATTTATCAATATTTTTGTAAAAGCAAATGAGTAAGAGTTTACGGACATGTCATGCATACACATACATGTACATGTACATGTATGTTCAACGTGTACGTAGACTACAAAAAAAAAGAATCAAATTTAAATTTGTTGTTTTGCTCCTAATTCCAAACAAAACTGTATAATGTGTACAAATTTAAATTTAACAATATTTTTGTGAAAAGCAAATGAGTAAGAGTTTACGGACATGTCATGCATACAATGTACATGTATGTATGTTCAACGTGTACGTAGACTACAAAAAAAAGGAATAAAATTTAAATTTGTTGTTTTGCTCCTAATTCCAAACAAAATAGTATAATGTGTACAAATTTACATTTAACAATATTTTTGTGGAAAGCAAATGAGTAAGACTAAGAGTTTACGAACATGTCATGCATACATGTACATGTATGTTCAACGTGTACGTAGACTACAAAAAAAAAGAATCAAATTTAAATTTGTTGTTTTGCTCCTAATTCCAAACAAAACTGTATAATGTGTACAAATTTAAATTTATCAATATTTTTGTGAAAAGCAAATGAGTAAGAGTTTACGGACATGTTCAACGTGTACATGTATGTAGACCATCTTTTGTCTACATGTACCTGTTTAACAGGAACAGAGTCATCGTTTTCAACAGGATGAAATCCATTACTTGGAAAACTTTCGGAATCACATGAACATGTACATGCAGTACTGACACAATGTATCAATCATAATGCCATGTACCGGTACGCACTGGTACCGTACTTCTCAGAATTGTTGGCGCTGAAGGTCACCTCCCAATCGGTGTAAAAAATGGGGGAATTCCCCTTCTGTGTATAGGGTGACCTTTAATCCACGATTACAGCCCAGCTGTGCAATGCATTATGGCTATGCATTACATCAGCCAATACACATGATGTGTCATGTGGGATGTATTGTAGTATAGGTTCTGTGTTAATGGTTAAGGCCTGTTATGATTACGTAAATGCCATGCTACTGCATTACCGTGCCAAACTCAATTAAATTGAAAAGGCAATAACTCGGATATATGTAGAGAAATCCGGGTTCGTGATCACTGTTCACTCATACACCCCCATGGAAAAAAAAAAAATTCACGCAAACTGCCCCATGACCAATTACCTTTGTCCTAGGTTCTGGAGCAGCCCAATTGGGCTACAAAACGCGCTTTGAACGAGATGATGTTAATCGGAAATTTAACATTTAAAAGTACCGTAGGATATTAACATCCACACAACTATCCTTTCAAAACTGGGCGTTTTTGTGTTATTCCTGTATTACAATGTATGTGGGCGAGAACGAATTTCGGGGTCCATTTTTGCGACCCCATAAATTTGAGCTGTTGGATGCTACATATAGGCCTATTTACATTTTAATATTTTTTTAATGACCCTGAGTAATGTTAGTAACTTGTAACATCATAAAATAAATCAAATCTTTTCCCTATAATTCAGAAAGTAGGCCTAATACATACACAAAATTTTATTTTCTTACCAAATCTGAACGTTATAATCATAAATTGCAAAAATCACTGTTTTTACCAGAAATATGAATTTTTTTTCAATTTCGTTTTTTGAACTGAATTCCCCATTTAATTGAGGTCTGGAAAAAGTACAAAAAAGGTTTAATATATATGTAAATATTTATTTTTGACATTTTTTGCTCTCCCATGGAGAATTGCCCATGTATGTAGTTCTGAATTCGTTCGTAAAATGTTCGCCTTTTGCGGACGTTGAGGAAACCACTTTTTTTGGCATTGGTGATTGGTCACCGCTGTTCCCGAGACACACAACATGTATCGTACACTGAGAACGACACGAAAAACGTATTCGTACATGAAATACTCCGTCATGTCCGATGTAAACAAGCGGGTTTTTTTTGTCTTTTCTCGGGACTAAGACATTAGGTTGGTTTCCTTTCAACCAGATTATGTTGAAATAGGCTAAGTAAACAATCCAAGAAATAAAAGTTTCAGGGATTTCATGACCTACCGGTACATGTAGTACCCCTTTAACAAAACTGTATGCTGAGCAATGCTTTTGGCACAGAAGAGGGCTCTGCACATGATAAAAGTACCAGAACAGGCCTACAAATCTTATTGGTCATTATGATCAGAATGGGAAGTCGCAAAAACTAAGTGGAAACTCCAAGCTGCACAAGACTTTAAAAAGAGTTTTTGAATTTGTAACTTTAGCAACCTTGAGAAGTTAAAGAAGAGGAAATAAAAAAAAAAATCCGGTTGTTTACATTGGACACAACAGAGTACGAATACGCTTTTCCTGTCATTTTCAGTCAATGTACTATACACGTTGTGTGTGTCAATACAGCACCATGCTTGCGAACAGCGGTGACCAATCCCCAATGCACAGAATGTGGTTTCTTACAATCACAACTACATGTATACATGTAGCACCAAAACAGCTCGACTTTTTGGGGTCGTACCCCCAAAGTCGTTTTCGCATGCATAATACAGGAATAACACAAAAACGCCCAATTTTTGAAGGATATCGGTACTTGGGTAGTTGTACATCCTACGTTTAAATGTTCTTTCCGATCATTTCGTTCAAAGCGCGTTTGTAGCCCAATCGGGCTGCTCCAGGACGCAGTGTCTCTTTAACCTCATACAATCCGCGTTGTGCACGTGCACGCGTGTAGAACCTGCACGCGTGTAGAACCTGCACGCGCGCACGCTCGCGAGTCGCGACTGAGATGAGAACTTATGCAATGCTCAGATTAACCGTTCAGTCTCATATCCAGCAGGAAAGCCCGCAGTTATCAAGGCTAACACCGCACTGATTTAACTTATTTTTTGCTTGTTAAAGTTACAACCATATATCGTTTGGACAAGTTTACCGGTATTGGCACGATATAATAAAACAATTGTTGACTGCTGAGATATGGGATATATGGCATTTTTAACACCCTTGGCTTTGTCTCCGGTGCTACGTGTATGCGCCCCTCAAGTGTTAAAAACAGCATATCCCACATTTCAGTCAACAATTGTATCAATTTTTAACTTACTATCACTCCCATTCTACCCAGTGAAATATCAATTTACATTTGTACATTCTGGTTGCTGGGATTTCAAACTGGATGACCGATGTTTACACTTTGTGTATCAATGCCACAGAAATCATATTTTGGTTAGTTTAAAACAAGGAAATAAATGCAGCCATTATATGAGTGAAGAATTAAAACAAAAGAGTTGACACAGAGCTTCACTATTCGTATTTGAATGTGACTTTAATAAGTTTGACAGTTTAATGGCCCGGACATGACACAGACGACAGAAGGTCAAAATAATATTTCTCTGAAGGGATGTACATTGTAACATGCAACTTTAAACTTCCTCAATGGTTTCAATGACATTTTGGGCATGGCTGTATCCATATTTATCTATGGCTGCTAATTATGGCAATCTTGATCGCTTATTCGGTATGCTTGACTTCAATTTGATGCGCACTGATTTTTTTTAACACACTTTTCAACAATCTTTAATCCATGAATTGCCTTCACAAATATACTTTGTTGAACAATTGTTGATAGATCTATACATAAATACCTGAACAGTTCACCCTATTGGTCAAGAGTGGGGGGGGGGGGGGGGGGGGGGGGGGTGGCGGGGGGGGGGGGGGGGGGGGGGGGCGGTGGCGGGGGGGGGGGGGGATTACACCAGTCTAGTCTTTGTTACACCAGTCTAGTCTTTAGCCTAAGATCTCAGCCATCGAATGACGAAAAACTTTGAAACCCGGTACCGGTACATGCATAGAACAACTATTCATGAACATACCAAGAAATTTCAGGACCATAGGTCAAAGGGTTTTGGAATTATGGCTAATGGCACCTGAAACAACCAGTCCAACACCGCTTCAGTACTAGCCTTTCGTCAAGGCCATCGTGGCTCAAAGCGGCGAAAACGCGAAGCGACTGGAGTGGGAGACCACACAAGCGAGTGGTGTAGCCACTCGTACGTGCTGACTTAATCTTTGCTCCAGTCGCTTCGTGTATTTCGCAGCTCCGCCACTCTAAGCCACGATGGCCTTCGTACATGCTGACTTAATCTTTGCTCCAGTCGCTTCGTGTATTTCGCAGCTCCGCCACTCTAAGCCAAGATGGCCTTCGTACATGCTGACTTAATCTTTGCTCCAGTCGCTTCGTGTATTTCGCAGCTCCGCCACTCTAAGCCAAGATGGCCTTCGTACATGCTGACTTAATCTTTGCTCCAGTCGCTTCGTGTATTTCGCAGCTCCGCCACTCTAAGCCACGATGGCCTTCGTACATGCTGACTTAATCTTTGCTCCAGTCGCTTCGTGTTTTTCGCAGCTCCGCCACTCTAAGCCACGATGGCCTTGGCGAAAGGCTACTTCAGTACTAACTGCATCAATCAACTGTGCCAAAAGAAACAGGTGGCATGAACCGGGAAGTAGTCTCTATTTACTACACATTTCTCCACAGTCAGCCACCATCTGGACTAATGGCACTGAATGAAGTTGGACCATGGCCGGACATGTTTACACCAGTCTAGTCTTTAGCCTCATTTTGAAATCACTTGACTTCCCTCTCATGTGCAAAATATTGAAGTCTCCTTTAAAAATTCAATTGAGTCTTCAAACTTGGTTGGTAAAATACTGAGGTTTTCTTTGCCCAATGAAAATTTAGAGAATTTTGCTGGCTAATGAGTGAGTAAATTTGGCGTGATTTCATTTTGCATGTTTTTGAGCACTTAAGGCCCCAGTCTCATAATAAGGCCGAAAAAAAAAAACTGCTTCAGATTACATGCCTTTCAAAAATAAGGTGGGTCGGTCGGAATTTTTTTTTTTCCATTTTTTTTTGGACGCCATTATAGTCACCGTGCATCGAATTGCGAAGTTATATTGCAAAGCGAATTTGTAAAAATAACAGAGGTTTCTTTTGAAAAAAAATAGCGAATGTAAGTAAGAAAACAAATAAATACAAGCATTTTTTTAACGCAAAAGGGTTGATGAGGGGTATTTTGTGAAGACAGAAAAGACAACAAGGTTTTTTTTTTTTATTCAATCATTATTTTTTTTTGGGGGGGGGGGGGGAATTGCTGATAAATTTTTAGGGTCGCAGCCGGAAGCAGTTTTAAGTATTATTTTTTGGGGGCCTAAACATGGTAAAAACAAAATGTGCCTGTGGGCACCCTACTTTGAAACCACCTTCAATGATCTGATGATAGTTTTCTATCAATCTATAGGCTACCATTTCATGAATAAAAGTCCTACATGTACCTTCATTTGGAGCAAGGTTTTTGCCATTAAATCGAAACCTGCCTACAAAAAATCCAGGTAAGGCCAAGGTAAAACAAATAGTTTCTTGTCCGGGATTTTTGAAGAAAAAAATGAAGGGCATTTCCCCCCCCCCCCCCCCCCCAAATGTTGGATTTTCAAAGACAGCGGATAGATTCTTCCAGTTTCTCAACTTTTGCTGATGGAAAAAAATCCGTACTGGATCACCACTTTTTTTCAATAATTTTCAAGCGCCAAAAGTTGCATCTTTTATGGTTATTCCCTCCACTTTCCCTCCTCTACTCTCACCCTCTCCTTTCCTTTATTCCTATTTATTAATCAGTCACTTACTTCATCGAGATTCTAACCTCGGACTCTTGCTTGAAACATGAGACTTCTAACCGCTACTAGGCCGCGCACGATCACTGTTGCAATGATCACTCTTTGGACGTACATGTATTTGAAGTATCCATTGAAATGAACTAAATATTCATGAGAAAATAAATATTCGTAATGACGTATTGCACTATCATTGGCCGGCTGATGCGTTGTCATGGTTGTCGATGTCGTGCGTATAACGTACCGCTGTCTTCCAGACACTTCAATCAGTTTCGACCGGCTGCTTCAACTCAGTTCTGCACGACATGTGCATCGAAAATGCTCTCTAAAAGCACATTTTGCCTTAATTTTTTTTTGCTTTTACAGAGCTTCCTGGATTCCTCTTGGGTGAAATCACAAGGTGAGGTGAAAATTGATGTGTTTGACGGCAGGTAAAGACAAGTGGTGACCCAGTATGGAATTTTTACCCAAATAAATTATTAATAATAATAATTAATTAAACTAAAACTAAAACTAAAGGGGAATAAAAATGTACTTACTGATGAACAAGGATGATCACAACATGGAGGTGCACAATCACACAAGGTAGATGTCACAAGCAGTGATAATATCAGACCTGTCACCAGGAACACAAAGCATGCACGACCAGGCCCCTTCATGACTGCCAATCTGTGACACGATTTGTAGAACTAGAAAGCAATGCAGTGCCACTGCTGTTATAAACCACAGGTCAAACAACTTTGCAGCGGGTATACTGCCACTGACTGCGTGCAGGCCCTACGCGGTTTATGCGAGTTTATGACGTTTGGCACTTGCTTGCTTGGCGACGGGAAATTACGTACTTATTTGGCAAGCAAGTACTTCTCGCAGCGGGATGCATGAAGAAATGTGTCTTATCTCTCCATGATTCATGGACAATGAATCAAGTTGCATGTCTTGGGGAAATCCATCCATCAATGTACGTCATGTATGTGCAACCGGACCTGCAACTTCAAGCCTGACAGTGACACTCGAAAATTAATGAAATTATTACACACAGACGACCGAGGGCGCTCTCACTCATGTCTGTGTACGTGTGGACCACGTGTTCTGAGTCGAGTTCGCTCGTACCCCCGCCCTGCAAACAGGGAGCGAAGGTTCTGATTTGCGATATTTTCTAGACCTGGGCTGCGTTTCCCGCATTCAGAATTCAAGGATATAATTTACCTACCTTCCAAATCGCAAGTGCAAGCAGAAAAATCTGTCTTGAAAGGAGTCTAGTAAAGTAAAAGTATCACTGCCGCCGTGCGCATGCCCGTTATTCGTGGAACCGAATCAAACGCACATTATTACCATGGAAACCAAAGTTGTTCCAGGCATCCAGCACGAATCATCCAGTGCGGCCCACGCCGGAGTACGTAACTTAACTCGGGGTGCTTGCCAGCGGCAGCCCAACCAAGTGCATCTTACTGCTAGGGTCCCGGCCGCCGATATCCACTGACTCCGTCCACCAACTCCATCTATACCTGCAGGTCCGTCACAACTGGCGCAAAATACCGGGCCGACGGCCAGTGACCTATATATTGCAATGGACATATAGGTGGCCGGCCTTTCTGGTACCGGCTCTTTGCTGAGCTGAGGTAGGAGAATTATTATTTATTAATCCTTATCGCATCATCTTTGGAATCCCTCGTTCTCCTGACGACGGGCAGAGCATACTGTTCGAAACGTTGAGTCCCTCCGGTTCTTTTCAGAACCACACATACTCACAAAAGAGATTTATTCACATGGTGCTACCGCAATCTTATCTTGTCTGAGAATTATTATGTTATGTCCCTAAAGTTTCACGGATTGGTTGTAACTGCCCATGAGTTAATCTTTCAATTATTTTTTGTTTCACACCGAAAATTGTTTCTTCACAAAACCCAGGAGAAAATACCAATTGGGTCCCATAGCCAAGGCATGTGATCCCGTTATTTCTCACTGACTCACATTGTGTTCTGATGGGATTCAACTAGCCCAGGTTGGATGACGTCTTCATTACACAACGGAGTCCAACCTGGGCTAGGAATGGATTCAACACGGAATTTGGGACATATTCAATGGAAACTCACTAAAATCCAATTGGATCGCCGCCAGATCCCATTAATTCCCATCGAAAAATGGAATGGGACTTGATGGGACTTGACTGGAACTTCAACTCCTAGGAATTCGAGGTGTGAAGTTGTTTGGGGTTGCGTTAGACACATTTTGGGCATGTCAACCATTCAAACATCATGACATTAACACGCAAAACCCACCAGCATCTTCGCAGTTAATATTTATGATGATCTGGTGATGAAAGACGCCTAGGCCTACACAGGCAATTTGAAAATGAGCGAGATTTACAATGTGTATAGTAGCCCAAATGTTTCACGTACGTGTGAACCACTTTTTTGGTGTCCCATACACGGGAGGGATCATGGGCCGGGAAATTTGTATAATGTTTCTGAGAAATAAAAAGATTATTGCATAATTATCATGCAAAGAATTGTTATTTTTAGTCTAATCAAGTTATTTTCACAATAAACAGTTGATGTGTTATGGGTAAGGCAAAAAATACATCATTTGAAATAATACACACTATACATTGAGCAAGAATATTATCACACAAATAGCAGAAAATTAATTCGGTTTCCCCTTTACACGCGAATGGTTTTGACATGGTATTTTGGCATTTCTAGAGTAATGTCTGATTTTGGCTACAATTAATGAGGCATATCGATATCTTTCAGTTATACTGAAAATTATTAATGAATCCCTTGTGAATCAATTTTTCCATTTTTTTGTCAGAATGTCACAAGTTGGTACCCTAATTTACAGAATAAGCAAGGCACCTGTAAACCTTTCAGTATTATTTGCGGCGCGACAATAATATTGTTCATGAGACCGATCTTCTTCTGTGCCCTACAGAAGCACAAATGATGTATCATGGCAGATGAAAGTATCTTTTATTTAAGAGGGTTATGTTGCAGACGCCTAACATTGAAACATGTCGACACAACACAACACAAACTGAAGAGAAAATCGAATTCGTTGAACAGCGCTCGTGCCAGTAAGAGCTAGATGTCTCTTAATTCAATAACAGCACGAAAAAGCCTACGGATATCCCTTCCTTAATTTACGTCAATATCTTCCTCGATGTTTACCGTATCTTTAGTATATCATCATTATCATGCATCCTTTTTTTTTCAAATTCGATTCTTTCCTGTTCGTCTCTAATCTTTCCTTCGTTTCCGTTTGTTTTCCGAAAGGCAGACAAACGTTTTGCAGTTCGTTTATTCTTTTTGGGTGTGAGTGACCCATCGCCGAACCCGAAAAAAAAATCAAATTGAATATCTAATTTAGCATTAAGCTTTCCATCGGCATCATACAAAATAAATGACCATGAGTTCATTAACTTAGAATAGGCCCCCTATAACTAGTATAAGGAAATTAAAAAATTTGATCCAACATCATTCCGTTCCAAAATCGTCACACGTAGGCCTACCACAAAAAAAATAACTTTTTTGAAGAAGCTCAAAGTGGATTAAAGAGATAAGGAACTTTCGGTAATATTATTGTTTGCACCCAATGCCTTCCCAGCCTGGCATAAGCCATGTCCGTGCCGTGCCAGAGCGGCATGCCTGTCCCAACCCACGAGCCACCCGGCGTTCAACCAGAGCTCATGAGCGATGCGGCGGGGGATGCTCGGGGGTGCTGCACGGCGCAGCTTGCTCCATCAGACAAGCAAGACGGACTGGACATCTCAGAGATTCTCGCGGACATACCACAGCCTGGATCCACAGCGACATCACCATCAACAGGGCCAAGGAATCTGGACGAGGGGTGGGCGTGGCTGATCATGATTGCCGCCCTTTTTACTCACATTCTGACCTTTGGCATGAGCTATGCCACTCTGGGGGCGTTCCATGTCGAGCTCTTGAAGGAGTTTGGAGGAAGTAACGCCGAAACGTCTTGGACTGGTTCTATCATGCTTGGGATGATGCTATGCACTGGTACGTGAACTAATATCTCAAAGAGAAATGCCCAATGTCTCAAATTTACTCGGTACCATTTTCCCAGAACTGCCATGCCCTTAAATCAAGCTGGCAGATAGAGAACGAAGATATTATGTTTTAAGGGAAGAGGGAGGTTTTCATACTATTTTGGTATAGCTGTGCTTCGCACTTGCATACAGGGTGCTTTTTAGGCTGTTCAAAGCACCTGTGGATTTTTTTTTATATTTGGTCATCGAAATTTTTTCGGCGTGGCAGCGATAAAATGTTTCAGAATAGCCTTCATTATTCAGAACGTTTTGAATGGAAACATGTCTTGGCAATCGTGCAAGATTTCAAGCAGCTTTTTATAATTTAAAGATGAATTCCCCGTGCTTTTTCGAGTTTGACCCGAAAAAAGTAGATTGTTTTCTTTTGCTATTTTTATGGCAATATACATGTAGTTATTCACTTTTAAATAAGACATCGAACAAAAAAAAAATCATTTTTTCTTGCAAAGTAAATTTTCAACGATAATTTTTTTTCCTACTTTTTTTCACTAATATAAAGTCTTTTGACAGTTTTAATCTTCTTTCAATTAACAGGCCCATTGATAAGCGTTTTCATTGATAAGTTTGGTGCATGCGCAGTAGCTGTAGTGGGCGGGGCCTTTGCATCAGCTGGTTTCATTCTCAGTGCCATGGCAACAAGCCTGCTTCATCTGTATTTCTCGTTCGGGGTTCTGGCTGGTAAGTGTGCTAAGTTGACTTGTTTGCATGCACTGCATTAAGTATAATAACCATCCCTTGTTCTTTAACTGACACTCAAAGTTATCGCATTCAATGATTTTCCCATGTTCCTGTAATTTAAGATAAGGAACACAAAGAACTGTGTACGCAGCTGGTCACAACAGGAATGAACTATTTAATTATCAATATGCCTAATGTTGGTAATGACCTATTCACATTATCCTCTGGATGCAGGCCTTGGTTTCGGGATGAGCTACCTCCCATGTATCGTCATGCTGGGCCATTTCTTCGAGCGTCGGCGTGCGTTTGCTGCCGGTATCTCAGCGTCAGGTTCAGGCCTTGGAACCTTCATCTTCGCCCCAGTCAACCAGAGCCTTCTAGCCAACTTCGGCTGGAGGCAATCGTTTGTTGTCCTTGGAGTCCTGGAGCTCATGCTGTGCGTGTGCGGCTTCACGTACTTGAAGAGGAAAATCCCAGTGCGTGGGTTGGTGTCTGAAGGCGATGGTGGAGATGCTAACGAGGATGGCAGCGAGGGGGCAGGAATAGCCGAGGCGAATACGGAAGCCTCTTCCCCATCTGTGGCCATTTTCAGCCGCCCAGACACTGGGACAAGCATGCAGAGCTTCAACTCCCTCCGGTCGAACAAGGCGCACACCCCCGTGGGCAGTTGGACGCAGAGTATCGGCGTCAAAATGGGCAGGAATGTGCTGCTACCGTCACCTCGGAATTCACCGCTGCCGGCCTCGCCTGTTCTGCTTGATAGCTTCTTCGGTCTTCCGTCACTGTCGGCTGCTGCATCAAGCAACTTCAGAGGGTCCTCTCTCGCCAACAACTCATCGTTGGGTGAAGCAGGGAGTCAAGTCTCCCCATCCGGACCGATTCCGACGATAGAAATCACCTATGCCTCGTCGCCTCCGTCCAAAGTGGCAAGCCCTTTAGCCCAGTCGCCTGATGCAGGCGAATTAATGGTAGGCAGCTGGCAGCAGAGTGTGGTTGTCAGGGCAGGTCTGAGCACCTTCTTACAATCTCCGATCACCTCTCCCATCGCTGATTCACCCCTGGCTATGGACAACACCTCACGGGACAACGTCTCAAGACTATCAGTGCCATCAACGCAGGAGTTTTCTCTGGAGAAATCTGCGGGGTCTTCATCCCAGAACCACCTCCCAACAACCAGTGCACTCGATTGCGTCCCAGAGAAAGAGAGACTCTACCCCGTGTTGAATGACCTCGCAGATCACAGTGGCACTATTTCAGTCACCAACATCGAA